CGGAAAGTGAGTACTTTTGCCATCTCTGCCTAATGGTAACCCCCCCAATCAGAGATTATAACAATGGCGCTTCCTGCTTGTTGTCTGCGCTGAGCAGGAACTAAAACAAAGCGCACATGTGGTCGTTGGCTCCGCCCCGTCACGTGACGCCCTGGGCTGGCTGACTCAGCCGGCTCGTTACGCTGCGTCAGTCTGGAGTCGCTCAATTATGAAAAAGCAACCTTCCGTTGTAGCTGCAGCCGAAGCGAGTACCTCCAGCGTCCAGCGGGCTTTCCTTCCAAGGCTAACCGAGTGCACCGCTGATAGATGGATAGAAGCCACGACACGTCTCTTCCTCAGTCTCAACGATGAAGAGAATGGTGAGTGCGTTCGGTTTAACAGTGTTGGTGAATTGGAGCGGCGGCGGGGGGGACTGTCGACTGTCGTGACTTATGGGGGCTTTGAAGTTGCAGCCCCCCCCCACTAAAGAATATGCATGCTGCCTGTAGGTGTCAGAACCGGCGGAGTTCCCAGGTCAATTCCTAAAGTTTCTGTTTTGGTGTTTTATGTAGTGAATTAAGCCCCGCTGTCATGGTTAACAGTGTCTCGTGAGGAAACCCCGAAATTCCATTCGTTGGAAACGTTAGCTGGCTAAGTAGCTAGCTCGCTTAGCTAACTAGCTTCAACCGCCCAGGTCGCTCTGTGGTGTTAGCTTTCCTCTGGGAGGCAACAGAAACGGCTTTTGTTCTCCCTGCGGCTCGGTAGACGCTGCTTCCATGGAGCTGTGGAGCCCAGAGCAGCTGGCAGTCTGTTAAAGCAGCGTTTCTTCCAGCGGTCTCGCGGATGTCAGAGCAGACACGCTGTCATTGCCAGTAACGAGTCAATGCCAGGTTGATCGGATGCCAAGTCTGTCCGGACTGACTCCCTGCCCCTCAGAAACATTAAAGTGCTGCTCAATCAAGGATCTATTTAATGTCAGACTTTTTAATTAACCTTCCTACATAGTCATCCCAGGTCATTTAGCCTTCTGGGTGTGGGGCGAACATTGAAGGCCCTTGTTCAACCTTTGCTATATTTCAACATTTCTCTTGTTGAAGATGCATTTTTCGTACTAAAAACTTCCTCCTGTTTTCCAAACAAGCTCATGTTTAATGTCCCATTGGAATACCAGTTTAGCACCACTTTGACCTAAACCCTGACTACTTAAAGCTGTCCTTCATCCACTACATCAGCTTAATTATTCATTCTGTGCTTTAGTCTCATAGTAGAAATGACAGTGTAGTAAGAGGAGATAAATACAATCCCTTAAATGCTTTGGGTGTTTTTACTACCATCCCCCAAACTGATAAGTATGGAAGTGAAAGAATGTCGGTGAAATCTGCCTTTTTTTTTGTACACCATTTTTTAAACACTGTTTTTTTTTCGCATCAAATTTTAAACACTGACACACTGAAAAAAACAGCTGCAAAATATAAAAAAAAAAAAACAGCTGCAAAAAATAAAAAAACAGCTCCAAGAAAATAAAAATTAGCTGCAAGAAAATAAAATAAAAATTAGCTGCAAGAAAATAAAATAAAAATTAGCTGCAAGAAAATAAAATAAAAATTAGCTGCAAGAAAATAAAAAATTAGCTGCAAGAAAATAAAAAAAAAATCAGGTGCAAGAAAAAATCAAAAATCGTTTGGTTATTAGTAGCTACCTGACGTTTTGTAATCATATCTATTTGACAAGAAAAACTCCTTATCAGCTACATTCGGCCTGGAACAAAGCCATGCCCAATGGTTGTGTCACGCGACCAAATGAGCTAATTTCATTGGCTAGAAGCTGGTCGACTGCATTGAGTGCAGATTGCGTTGGCTTGAATTCACCAAAAGGTCAACACATTTGCAGCTGATTTTATTTATTTATTTTTTGTTTGCAGGCAACTTTTTACCAAATATAAATTAAGCGTAGGGTATTAAATCTGTAAAAAAAATCAGTTTTTAAAATTCTGTGTTTTCTTCCATAGATAAGCATTGTTCTGTTCACTAAGAACAGATAAAAAAGGTATGTTAGGGATATGAAATGCATATTCTGAAAATAGATTTTTTATAAATTATTTGATTTCTTTTTAAGGAAAAGTCCAGTCAGCAAAGAATAAACAATGGATCATTATTTATACCTAAAACTAATACGTTCACAGTATTTTCATGTTTTTATCATTAATCAGTAAAAAACTAAAAACAATAATTTTCGTCATGATCACGGAGTCTGGGAGCGGCCATTTTTGCCCAAATATAGTAACACCTCCCTTCTGCCATCTTCCGGCAGTGACATCACG